CTTCCGCAAGGCTTGCCGTCCTTCACCAGCACCGGCACCGCCACCCGTCGCGGCGAGCTGGCACTCTGCAACAAAAAAATTCGTTACTTAAGAATCGTTCTTGGATTAATATCTGATACGACGATTAGACGTGAGGTGAGGACACGCTTTTAGGACTGTGCCTTCGCTGAAGCAACGACTAGAAATATATTTTGTTATTGCGCTATAAACACGATTGCGAAGGGTTTAGAGACCTAGAGCAATCTTAAAGATGTTAGTAAGTCTGGACGCGAAACGAGACAGGCAACAAACGGCGACCTTTTAAAAAAAAATGTGGACCATCGACAAACAGTTCCTCGTTGTTGCTTCAGCGAGGACGTGACTTAACGGCGCATGACATTTACAATCGTTTATCTTCCTATAGATCCTACCATCCTCGCAGAAACAAAGAAAAGGCCTCAGATTCCTGTTCTGACATCATCTCTCAAGCAAGAAATACGCAAGCCAGTCTACCCAGGTATGTAAATCCAAGTATACGCGTCCGTTGACTGCGTCCGACGAACCGCGTGTAGAAGACGTGGGACGTAGCCTAGGTTGAACCGCGGAGGGCTTCTGTGTTCCGAGCAAACACGTGGGCTCGATGGGCATAGGTACTCAAACCGCGCGATACCTCGCGATCGGTATTCGAACGTACGTCGGACTCTCTCTCATTACGAATAAACAGTACCGGCTACCGTGGACCAGGTTCCGGGATGTGTCGGTCGCGTCAACATCGAGGAGCTGTTCCTCGTCCCTTTACCGCGTGTGTCTTTCTGTTGGGGGATTCGGTACGGGGACCCCACGGCATGCCAAACAGAAGCCGAAGCAAGCCGGCCGAGTACCTGCCGGGACGACCACTCAGCTGTATCAACATTCGGTACATGACATTCCTCTTCGATCTCCTCGCCAGCGACGCTTTAATAATATAATCGCGACCGCTCGAAAACGCCTCGATAACTGGCCGAGCTACCATCTTTCAGCGATCTTGGAGTATTCTTCTTCATCATTAGAATCAAGTTTCAATTCCTGCATTAGGGAACTATAAGGTCAATTATTGTTCTAAAAGGAGAAAATCTCGATTCGTGGAGACTTAGGAAAGCTAGTCGGTAAGAACCCTTTATGACCATACACAGTAACGATCGACCATTGTCTAATTTTTCAAATTTTGCAGATTGTGAACAGTTAGCAGATCTTAAGAAACCAGCCGAATTTATTTGTTGCGATATAAACATTGTAAGCCGAATGTACGGATTCGATTCGTGAAGGGACGGTGGGCCGCTGTTCACGGACGAAAACGAGAGGGCCCAAGCGTGTGTAACGGTGATTTTATTCGAGTGGCCGACACGAACTTACGTGGACGGTGCGGCCGCGAACATAAGTGCAGGCATGCCGTGCACTTCACGCTGACAAAGTGACGATTACGCTAAACGCATGACGGTCGGCGCGCGCGTCACGCGTCACGCCACTTTAGCCACTTCAACGCGCGTTAAGCGATTTCCGGCGAAAATGGCCGTGCTTAGGAACGGAGTAGTACGTGTTTATGAGCTGGCGACCACCGACGCGTAATGAGGCTCAATGTTGCCGTGATCGCGGCCGCGATTGGATTCTCTGGAAGCATATTACGCGCCGATTTCCCTCCTAGAGCTCCCTGGAACGCCGTTCTCTATGCAGTTAATATTTCTTCCGCGGAAGCGAACGTCACCATTGGATCCGTTTTTTAGGTTAAGGACTTGACCGAGATCAGCCTTTCTTTTTCATTGATTTTTCGTTTCCACATCATTTTTATGTTTAATATATTGTTTCGAATATTTCTCGTTCTTCGAACTTTGGACTTTTGTGGGACTTTAGGCGTTTGGTTATTTAGGGTTGTATAATTACGGCATATCTGACTTGTCTTTAGAACTTTGGTTCTATAGTATTATAATATTTCTGAACTTTGAATATGTAGAATTTAATGAAATTATAATGGAGCTTGTAAGCTTAGAATGTCCAGGGTATGTTTAATCAGTAAACTATGTGAATTTTGAAAAGAAAATGTTTGGAAAAGTATCGAAGAAGAGAGAGTAATCGGAGACTGGCGTTGATATTCGGTTTTTTAAAAGGCCTTCTTTAAAGGTGCATTTAATTTCTTTAATACACGAGAGCAGGAAACGAGGGCATGGATATTTGCAAAATAAATTGTACTTGAAACGTCTGCGCGGTCGCGGTGATGTTCATTTTAGGTACAGCCACATCGAATATCCAAATGCACCGTGCGACTTCCACGCGAATGCATCTCTCGTGGAAAAACACTCGGAACTGATGTAATTAACTAAAAGCTGGCCTCCCGTGGCACAGCCTTTTCCCGAGCCCCGCTCTTCCCTTCGCCGTTCCGTCGTTCTCCGACGGTCGTCTACGTCTCGTTCTTTACAGAAGCCTCGGCCGAACAAAGAATACCGAGAAGAGATATTAAAAGATTTCTGCCGGGACCTCTCGTTTCCGCGACGAATGGAATTCAATGGGTTCCGTAAACGAGGAAGTGGTTTTTAAATCTAATAACCGATGTTTTACCGCTGGTGTAATTACATTAGGCGGTCTCTCGATACCCGCCAAACAGTTTCCCGCGCTTTCCTTCAAAACGCGCGAACTTCCTTAACGATTTTTCTTTTCTTTTTTTTAGACAAAGATCTTTTTATGTTATTTTGTCAGTGACAGAGCATCTGAACGTTTTAAATTTTTTAAAAATTTAGTCGCTCAAAATCTTGAAGTGCGTATCGTTAAGTAACAATGGTGGTAGAGCACCTATTATTAAAACTTCAATTATATATTTCAATGAAATATGCCATGCCGTTTGTGAAACTACTTAGGTTGTAGACATTTATGCAGACTTTTTCAAGAATTAATAATCTGTGACTGTTATTAGAATTGAACGAATGAACTGGCAATGCAATATGTTTCTCGAAGGTGGTTTTAAAAAATAAGAGAAGTTATTGCAGGTACGATATAATCTCGATTGTGACTGGTGGTATTTGAATGAGCAAGTCGAAAGATCGACGGCCGGTGTCTTGAAGGGAGGGTTAATCGATATCAATAGTAGTATTGGTAACCCCGATTCGCGTCCAGGTGTTGTGCATGACTGTACTCTCGGCAAGATGGCGACCGGTCCTCGAGCACCCGTTTCCGCGCTCCCCTGCAGGATACCAGTCTCTCGCTCCCTTCTCTCTTCTCGTCTATTTCTTTCTCCTTCTCGCCGGTTCTCCCTCCCCGTCTTCTTCTTTCTCTTTCTTTTCCCCGTGTTCGCTCGCTCGCGCTGCCACTTGAAATTTTTTTACCGCCGCGAGGGGAGGAAATGGAATAAAACGAAAGAAAGGGAAAAAAAGGGAAAAAATCAGAGCTCTGCCTGCCAACTCGTCGTCGACGACGACGCGAGAGTCGAGCCTGCTGCCTCCTCGTCGCGCGGTGTTTTAACTCCGGAAACGATTAAATTCTATTAACCGTTCATCGCGTGTTTGCATCCCTCAAGAATAAGATTCTTCGCAAATTTAGATTTCACGTAATTTATCTTCGATACAGTTTCACGCTTCTGTCAGTCAAAATTTACATAATTTTGTACTTAAGAAAAGTCCTTTGCTTCTCACATATTTAAGTCCTTGTACTTTGAGGAGTCGCTCACAGCTCAAATATAAGAAATCTTACTAAAATTTTTAATACTCAACTTCAAATTAAATCCAACCATAATTTGCATTATCAAGGACCGCTTAATATAAAATATCTATTGTTTGTTTAAACATTATAGTTAATCTTGACTGAGATATCTGACAAATAAATTGCATGGCAAGGGATTAATCGCCAAGCTCGGACACCGCGCGGGAAATTCAAACTGAATAACGATCCAATTATTCTCCGCAAATCTTTGATCATAAAAAATAGAGAACACTGTTACGTTTACGCGCAAGATCCGAGTTCTCCGATCTGTATACGGGACGCTATTGTACGAAACGCTAACAATGCTTACAACTAGCACGATACACTCTATGTTACCTACTCCGCGTCGTATCGTGCACGCGAACCCGGCCACGCAATTACACGTATCACCGAACAGATCGAGATAATGGAACGAAAATCCTGCGCGGAGAATAGGGAGGAACGGTAAACAAGCCACGGAATTGAAATCGAGACCATAGGCAATAGAGACACGAGTAAAAGGAAAAGAGCGAACGAACGAGAGGAAGAAAAGAGAGGGAGATGAATGGGATACCGTGTCTACGGGGGCCACGAAAAACTAACGAGTAAATTATGGGGCGGCTGTTCGTCCTGGCGTGGCCGAAGGGGAGTAGACCGTTTACAGATCGGGACACTGGATAACTTTCAGCACCATTAATGTTCTATGGGTGTTTACGAGCCACCGTTTGGCGGCGACAATGTCGGCCTCTTTTTGAGATCGATCTACTTGTCGTACCAGATACTTAGATCTTTCGAATCGACGCTATTCATGCTTGTGTCGATTTTTAACTAATGTGGACACTTTTGAGTAAATGGATATTCACGGAACAATATTTAAACATTTAATTAAATTTTCAGAGGAAATTATACATGTTTTTAACAGCACAAGGATAACATCTGCAACCCTGACTTGCAACCCCCATTGACTCCGTTCATACTGGAAAGGAATAACTATAATCATTAACGGGTTACTCAAACAATACGGAACCAATAAATGCCTACACTAACGTAAGACTAACTTTGTCACATTATCTACTACACACGAAGTAAAACAGCGGTCGAAGAATAATTGTCACCCCATTAAAGTATCAATCATTTCTCTACAGAGAATATATAATTTATTCGAAGAATCATTGTGCTTGACGAGGATTGATCCAGCAGTTCGAGGATTAAACATAAAACAATGGATTATAAAATGTTGTTAATCCGATATGGAACGAGTGGCCGTCATTCAAATGGTATATACGGATGACAGGAATCGGAAACCCAGAAACGAGAATGACTTGGATCCCGTCACCCGTGGAAAGTGGCTTTGCGCGAAAATCGGGCGACGCGTGTGCGAGTTTTCATCGAAATTCGATGAAACGGTGAAGTCAACGGTGGCCGAAAAATATGCTATGAAAATCCGCTTACGTCGAAACGCTATTCCCTGTCGAGTATCGATCATCCCGGTATGCATTTGCTGTATAGCTACATTTTACAAAAATCAGGGAGCAAAGTGTGGCTGAAATTTTGGTGTTTAGGATGAGGAAGTAGGGGTGGAGTATTTGGGGGTTTAGGGATTTGGGAATTTGGGGATTTGGGGGCTTGAAAATTTGGGGGTTTAGGGATTTGGGGGTGTAGAAACTTGGGGGGTTGAGAGTTAGGGAGTTTTGGAATTTAGGGGTTTGGGAATTTGGGGGTTTGGGAATTTGGAGGTTTGGGAATTTGGGGGTTTTGGAATTTGGGGGTTTTGGAATTTGGGGGCTTGGGAATTTGGGGGCTTGGAAGTTTGGGGGTTGAGAGTTAGGGAGTTTTGGAATTTAGGGGTTTGGGAATTTGGGGGTTTGGGAATTTACATTTTACAAAAATCAGGGAGCAAAGTGTGGCTGAAATTTTGGTGTTTAGGATGAGGAAGTAGGGGTGGAGTATTTGGGGGTTTAGGGATTTGGGAATTTGGGGATTTGGGGGCTTGAAAATTTGGGGGTTTAGGGATTTGGGGGTGTAGAAACTTGGGGGGTTGAGAGTTAGGGAGTTTTGGAATTTAGGGGTTTGGGAATTTGGAGGTTTGGGAATTTGGGGGTTTTGGAATTTGGGGGCTTGGGAATTTGGGGGTTTGGAAATTGGGGGGTTTGGGAATTTGGGGGCTTGGAAATTTGGGGGTGTAGAAATTTGAGGGGTTGAGAGTTAGGAAGTTTTGTAATTTGAAGGTTTGAGACTTTGGGAGTTTGGGAATTTGGGGGCTTGGGAATTTGGGGACTTGGGAATTTGAAGGTTTGGAAATTTGGGGGTTTGGGAATTTAGGTGTTTGAGAATTTAAGGGTGCAGAAATTTGGGGGTTTGAGAATTATGAAATTGAGGAATTTGGGGGGTGTCGAAATTTGAGGGTTTAGAAATTTGGCAATTTGAAAATTCAGGAGTTTAGGAATTTTGGGATTGGAACTGGCAACGTAAAAATTCATGAATTCAGTCCAAAGAATCATGAATTTGAGAAATCAGTGGCTTTAGAAATTGATAGTCTTCACACATAAAAATCCTCAAATTAAAAATTCACAATCAGTACCAAAACTAATCAAGTAACAGTACGTTCCTAATCAGTAACATCAAAATTCAGAAACATCTTTAAGAATCTTCCAAAAACTCAGAATTTTGAAATAAGAAAAACTCTGTTTCTCACATACGACCAGTTATTCGAAAACACTTCCAAGAATCAATCATATCTCAAAAAAATCCGCAGAAAATGAAAAAACGTGGCAGAGCAAATAATCGTTGTATGTTGACACGAAAATGATTTTGAGTCACGACGGCGATTGTTGGCAACCGGGTTCGAGCGATTTGCCGCTAATGCATACCGAGACATCCGTGATCTCGCATACTCGCGGACGTCCGTAATGTATTCAGAAGACGGATCTGTGTGTATCGGAACGATCGCCAGTCTCTGACGTCTCTTTTGAATGTTATTCTTCCAGGAGAAGAGGGAAGCTAGAGGAGCGATTCATATTCGTCAGTGCGTGCGACGAGATCGAGACAAGGCACGTTTCGAACTCGCAATTACGATATCTCCGGGAATCTGGCGTGTCATTATTAGAGTCGATAGATGCGAAAGAAAGGGAAGTTCGGTAGATCTTTCTTTGTCGACGTGCAATGGATTCTACGTGATCAGCATCGTCTTTTAATGTTCAAGCTATTTGCATATCGCACAGATTGTACAAGTAAATTCGAATTGAAATAATTTTAGTAATAAAACGATGTAAACCTCGTTAACACTAGATTTACGGACGTTTGATGGTCACTTTTATTTAAATTTACCTAAAGTAGAAAAATAAATAAATTGCAGATGATATATGAACTGCCTAAAACATTGATTCTTTTGCTGAAAGTTGACATTTTTACAAAAATTTCTTAACAAATTCTGTCATCTAAAATAGACCTATTATCCGCCATTTTGACGGGTTCCGTAAATCTAGTGTTAAGAATGTCGACATGCAATGGATTCTACGTAATCATCGTCTTTTAATGTTCAAGCCATTTGCATATCGTACAGACTGTACAAGTAAATTCGAATTGAAATAATTTTAGTAATGAAACGATGTGAACCTCGTTAAGAATGCCGACATGCAATGGGTTCTACGTGATCATCGTCTTTTAATGTTCAAGCCATTTGCGTATCGTACAGACTGTACAAGTAAATTCGAATTGAAGTAATTTTTGTAACGAAACGATGTGAGCCTCGTTAAGAATGTCGACATGCAATGGGTTCTACGTGAGCATCGTCTTTTAATGTTCAAGCTATTTGCGTATCGTGCAGACTGCACAAGTAAATTCGAATTGAAGATACACATTTTGTTAAAACACATTCCTCAAAATCTACATTGGTTTTCATTCATATAAAGGATAAATGTATGTTCTACTTTATGTTTCGTCGTTTGTATATTTATTTTATAACTTCATTTTTAATTTCGAATTAAGTATGTTAGGTTTAGTGTTAAGAATGTCGACAGATACTTTTCTCGAATGAAAGAAGAATTTAATTTTGTGAAAGGAAAGTTATATTGTAATTGAGTCAGATTTTCGAGTCGAGTTACGAGAGTCATGCGAAATATATTCGATTTGGCGTTTGAACGTGCGTTGAATGTCAACGAGACACATAGAGCCGAAATAAAATTCTGTCGTTCGTTGAAAGATGAAAAATAGGGAAAAACACGGGAAATAAAGAAGAGGTAGAAACGCTACAAGAGCAGTCGGTGGTGCTGCAACATCGATGGTAATTACGTGTTTAACACAGACGATTTTACGTTCCGCGGAAACGTGAATCCCTGGAAAAATTTCGGCTGAAATAACGAAATGAATGCAGAATCGCTTCGAGCCGGTCGAGTGGGCCACTCGAAACGAAATACGATGTGGATGCGAGGAGATCCGGCGCGGAGCGGCGCGGCGGCGTCCGGAATATTTTTCATTTAAAAGCATTTCATTTCGAAACGCTCGATATTTTGTCGTGTGTCTCGACGTTTCGAAATCCCTCGGGCAATCCGATCTATCGAGGACACACGTATTATCGTCACACGAGAGACGACCGAACGATAGAATTTAATTTAATCCCTCCTCCCTGATATAACGTCACTATATTTTTCTTTTTTGGTTAAATTTTTTTGGTTGGAAATTTCGTGCTACGTTTGGCAATTCTATGTGTAACAATATTAATATTGTAATACATAGCAAAGAAACATTTATAGTGACCTAACTTGGTAAACGCTTATAGTGATCTAATTTGAGGAACATAGTGATCTAACTTGAGCAACACTTATAGTAATCTAACTTGAGCAACATTTATATTGACCTAACTTGATAAATGCTTATAGTGATCTAACTTGAGGATCATAGTAATCTAACTTGAGCAATATTTATATTGACCTAACTTGATAAATGCTTATAGTGACCTAACTTGAGAAACATAGTGATCTAACTTGAGAAACACTTATTGTGATCTAACTTGAGAAACATTTATTGTGATCTAACTTGAGGATCACTTAAGCGACCTAACTTGAAAAAGCACGCAAAGAAACTTAACTGGTTGACGTATAAAACATGAGGATTTATAAGACGTGGAAATACGGTGCATGAAAATATGTAACGTGGAGATATACCACGCGTGGAAATATCAAACGTAGGGATATACTACGCCTGGAAATACAGCGCGTGGAAATACAACGCGTAGATATATATAACGTGGAAGTACACCACGCGTAGAAGTGTAAGACGTAGAGATACACGACGTATGGAAATACAACGCGAGGAAATATGTAACGTGGAGATATACCACGCGTTGAAGTATAACGTGTGGAAATACTACGCGTGGAAATGCAGCGCATGGAAATATAGCGCGTGGAAATACAACGCGTGGAAATATGTAACGTGGAGATGTACCACGCGTGGAAATATAACGCGTGGAAATACAACGCCTGGAAATGCACTGCGTGGAAATATAACGCATAGAAATGCAGCGCGTGGAAATATAACGCATGGAAATATAACGCGGAGAATTACAACGCATGGAAATGCAGCGCGTGGAAATATAATGCATGGAAATATAACGCGTGGAATTACAACGTGTGGAAATATGTTGCGTGGAAATACAGCGCGTGGAAATACGGTGCGTGGAAATAAGGAACGTGGAGATATCCCACACAAATAAATACAAAGCATAAAAATTCACAACGCATACAAAACAAATAATAATTACCTGATTTTGTGCGTTTTGTTCGGCCATCGCTTTCTCCTTCGCTTGCCTCTTGCACTTGTATCGATGGTTTTGAAACCATATCTTCACCTGCAACAAAGATTCATAATTATTACACACAAGAATTATATTTCGAATAAATAATATTCAAGTATGAAAGAGCGTCGTACGATCACCACGAATTTCACCTTCTTTTTTTTCTTTCCCTTCAGAAAGGTAGGGACACATTTTTCGGTAGTCGAACTGTCGTCAGGTAGAAAGTGAAATATTTTTGTAAGAGGGGAGAGCGCAAGTCTTTTGTCGCGTGTGTACGTTTTAAGTAACCCGGAACCTATTCGTCCACCCCTGAATTCATAATCCAACGATTATTATAAGACTGTTATTCCTTCGAGAGGGATTTAACGCCTCGTTCATTCTTCGACTACAGTTTGGAGATAGATTTATTGTACTTTATCATTCTTTTCCCGCCTTTTGTTTTCTGAGACTCTACCTCTGTTTACCGAAGCGCACATCTTATGTTAACAATTTTTATAAAACATAAACATTTCAATTCAGTGCTGTGCTTCAAACTGGCTACAAGTGCCATTATACTTTTATCGAATCACATCAAACACTTTATATTTCACAATTGATAATTGTCTCACTCTATAAATTCACCCATTCTGAATCAAAAACATTAAAACACACAGAAACTTTCAGATAATTCTAGTTGTAAGTTTCACATCCATGTACCATAAGTGACGTACCTCCATCTCATCATATCACATTAGAATTCATATCACACATCGAAATTTGATGCGAATGTTCAACACAGCGAGAAACAGGGTGGTTAAAGACTTATTAAGAATCGCGTACAACAGAGAGACCATAGTATCAGGGTTTTGTAAAATTTTCACCGGAGGAGCAATGGTGCGCGGCTAAGGACCGCTCGAAACCGCTTTTACGGCAATTGAACGCGATTAGGGAGGCTGTGCGGATGGGATCGAGATCGGCATCTGCTTATGACAGCACCGCGTTATAATCCGCATTGTGCATTATGCCGCGTGCACAGGGGCGCGTTCCGATCACACCGCCATTGTCGTTGACCGACCAAAACAATGGACTTCGCTTTGTTCGATGATTTAACCCTTAACGCGAGCTAGTTTCATCGTCGATGTGTTAAGCTCTTCGCCATGTTTCCACCACCGATGAATCCTCGCTACTCTGCGACTGACAATTTTCAAATCTCAAGCATTTATTCGCTGCATCTGTTATTGGGTCAAAATCTACCTTACGATTACATGTTCGCGTGTAGTATGTACTTATATCTGTCACCGATCTCTTCGAGGGCAAATATTGTTCGAATTTTGCTTCAAATGATCGTAACCGGTCATCGTTTCTTACTTTAAATTGCTACATAAGGTGCTTTTTATGGAGAAGAAAAATTAACATATTCGGTTATATTGTATTTTAAGCTCTGCTGAATTTTTTGTTTTAAAGTATGATGCATTGTTTTGAGTAAATTAATTGAATTAAGAACAAAGTTATTTAGTGTGACATTACTTAATGTAACAGCAAAAGTTACAAGATATATATTTGCTGTATTTTTAATTTCAAAGTATGATGCATTGTTATGAGTAAATTAATTGAATTAAAAAAGAAGTTACTTAATGTGACATTATTTAATGTAACAGTAAGAGTTACAAGACATGTATCTGCTGTATTTTTAATTTCAAAGTATGATGCATTGTTATGAGTAAATTAATTGAATTAAAAAAGAAGTTACTTAATGTGACATTATTTAATGTAACAGTAAGAGTTACAAGACATGTATCTGCTGTATTTTTAATTTCAAAGTATGATGCATTGTTATGAGTAAATTAATTGAATTAAAAAAACAGTTACTTGATGTAACATTACTTAATGTAACAGCAAGAGTTACAAGCTATATATTTGCTGTATTTTTAATTTCAAGTCATGATGCATTGTTATGAGTAAATTAATTAAATTAAAAACAAAGTTACTTAATGTGACATTACTTAATGTAACAGTAAAAATTACAAGACATGTATCTGCTGTATTTTTAATTTCAAAATACGATGCACTGCTATAAATTAATTAATTGAATCAAAAACAAAGTTACTTAATGTAACATTATTTATAACAGTAAGAGTTACAAAACCCCACATGCTATGAGACACCAATCTCGTCTTGCAGCAAGTTTCTTGTCTATCTTAAATCTCTAGCACAAAGATTATAAGGTCTGAATAGCATTGTATAAGAACGGAACACAAGATCGAACATTTTAAAAGAAGAATACAAAAGGGCAAATTAGAGGCATGTGTGAAACGTACTTATCGTACGCTAAGCCCGATTTTTATCGCACGAATCAAAGGCGCGTCCGACCTATATGTTGCTTGGCTGTAACCTCCTACTCGAGTGGCTGTAACCCGCTGCAATCCCCCATGTACCCTAACCTCCCCATTGTCGAACTTATGCACGCCGAGAATGCAACCGAAAGCACTTTAAGGGGGACCCCGTTCAGTAGACCGTGTCTCAAGTGCCTACCACCGTCTGTCTAATTCTTTGAATATTAGCGGGATCGGCCACCCTCGAAAATTCTTTTTACCACTCGTGCCCTCCCGTGTTGGCCTTTCTTTGATACCGATCGACGTTACTCTTACTTACTCGACATTTCAAGATTTGTGAAATCTTAGACGGTTCTGTGATAGGTAATTGTAATGGTAAGTGAAGAATTTGGGGGGTTGGGAATTTAGGAGTGGAGAAATTTGGGGTTTGAGGATTTGGGAGTTTAGGAATTTGGGGAGGTGTGAATTAGGGTGTTTGGGAATTTGGGGGTGGTAAAATTTGGGGGTTTGAGAATTTGGGGGTTTGGAAATTTGGGGGTTTGGGAATTTGGTGATTTGAGAATTCGGGAATTTGGGAATTTGGAAGTGTAGAAATTTGGGGGTTTGAGAATTTGGGGGTTTGGAAATTTGGGGGTTTGGGAATTTGGGAGTTTAGGAATTCGGGGGGTTGCGAATTTGGTGATTTGAGAATTCGGGAATTTGGGAATTTGGGAGTGTAGAAATTTGGTGATTTGAGAAATCGGGGGTTTGGGAATTGGAGGATTTAGGAATTCGGGGGGTTGCAAATTTGGTGATTTGAGAATTCGGGAATTTGGGAATTTGGGAGGTTGCAAATTTTGTGATTTGAGAAATCGGGAATTTGGGAATTTGGGAGTGTAGAAATTTGGCGACTTGAGAATTTGGGGGTTTGGGAATTTGGGGGATTTAGGAATTCGGGAGAATGCGAATTTGGAAGTTTGAGAATTTGGGGGTTTGAGAATTCGGGAGTTTTGGAATTTGGAGGCTTGCAAATTTAGGGGTGTAGAAATCTAGCAATTTGAGAATTCAGGAATTTAGAGATTCAAGGGTCTTGTGGATTCGCCGATTTGAGTAATTGTATCGTCCAATATTGCTCAGTGGCATATACTATGAGATATGACACTCTAAGTTATGTCATTCTGCCCCACAAAAATATTGCAATAAACAGATTGAAATATCTAGGAATTCCTACGAAAAGAATATCGTCTGAACAGTATAATCTAAACAGTACAGTTAAAGAATCTATGAGGGTCTAATTAAGATCGCACAACTTCAAGATGGCGGCATATGAATCGAAGCCCTCCGCGACTTTCCACGCGTGTTCGGTGTCGCAGGGCTGATGCGTAGGGCTGAGAGACCTTATCTAAAAGCCACGAAGAGGTACTAGACGAGGGAAGTACTCTTTCGTCGCTCCTGTTCGTTAATTCCTTTTCCACCGATAATCCACTCGTCGAAGCCACCGGAGTTTCGGCCGTGCGGCGATTTCGAGAGGTCTACAAACAGGCTACTTGCTTTCTTCGTCCGTCTGCGTTCTTCTTTTCAATACCGACACGTGTGTGTGCTACCATATTTTGCTATCGTGACCTACTTACTCGTATGAAATTTAAAATCACTCGTTTGAAATGCGTGAATTTTATTATTAGCGTAACTCATATATTTCTATGACAAATGATGTATGATGTCCTCTGTATGATGTTCAAAGAGAACAAGTTCAGATGTTGTTGAATGTGAACGATGTTCACATTGTTTCTAATGATAAATTTACACAACACTGCATCCTTAACAACACGAATCAATGAACACAACATTGCATCCTTAGAAACTTAAAATTTTACAAATTCAAAAATACAAAAAATTTAAACGGTGATTTTACAATTCAGCCAATAAAGACAGCAAACAACTATAAACTTGAAGATTTAAATTCAAAAATTTCTCAGTTAAAAAGTTTAAACAGAGGTTTCTTTAGTTCGCGTGACGAGCGTAGGAATATATTTTGCATCGATTTCTAAACGAAAAGAGGGATCAAGAGGTCCAGCGAAAATTTCGAGTAGGATGAGGAGACCAAGCAATCCTGTGTGGGCTTCGCTTTCATCCGTGAAAGTTGCTTGCTCTCCTCGTCGGAAATCGGCGTTCGCCTCGAATTTCTTTCTCCGGTCCGCGAGTACACACCAGTTATATCCCTATCTCGTTCAACTTTCTCTGTTTACTCACCGCATCGTGGCGGGAACGACGGACAAACGGACTGACGGGCCCGTTCCCTTGAAATAACAATTCTCTCCGACGGTTCGCCCTGTCTCTCCCATCTTTCACCGTATAACCGCTTTCAGACTTTGGCCTAGCGATCATTCTTCCACGAAATTCTTTGCGGACTTCCTTGTGAAATACAGGTTATTTATCACAGTTACTTCAGGTCTAATCAGACTCTGATCATTGCTCGAAGTAACTAGTCATCAATTGTTAATAACTAACCATACATTTCTATGAAACTATGTAGACATTTTCATGAAGCCTGAAGCTTTAAATCGATGTACTATGAACATCATTTTGTGACAATTTTATGTCATGAAATTGTGCTGGACTTTGATGAAACTTCGATAAAAACGTTTCATCAGAAACCACAATTTACTATAATCAACCATTATGTATTCCATGAAGCCTGAAGCTTTAAATCGATGTACAATGAACATCACTTTATGACAATTTTATGTCACGAAATTGTGCAGG